AGTGTGTGTCTCTTTTTGTGTGTACGCGTATTGGTGTGTGTTTAGTGTTTTTCATACGAATTTTCTAATACCCTGATTTCTGCTCAACTTATCAAAATGTTGCAGTAGCAGAGAGAGATCAGAGCTCTACGAGATGTCTTTAGGTTGATATTTAAATCAAACTTGTGATCCCGATTTAAGGCTGACCTGTCTCAAATTGAGCAATGAAAATGGCCCATTTCTCCTCTTGTACTTTCAAAAAATATAATTTAATTGACACATCCATTTATGAATTTTCCAACTTTCTAGACGATAATAATAATAATAAATAATTAAGGATTTGCTGTGTCAACACTTAATTATTAATATATTGGATAATCCTTTAATTAAAATCCACACTAATTAGCCCTTAACATGGGCACATAAATAGATCACTACAAATGTTGGTTATTTTTGCCTGTGTAATCAAGTTAGAAAATATTTAAATAAACTTGTTTTTACAGTGTATTCTGCTGGATACGTCCACTTAATCATGAACGTTAAGTTGTGATTAATTGCTGATATATAAATATTTCACTCTCATTTTCCCTCCTGGGTGTACAAATAGACTCCTAGTGTATGTACATATACCCACAGGTCCTCCCCTGAGTCCTTATTAGGATCAGCAACAGACGGGGAAGGATTTCAAGGTTGCACACGCTCCTCCTCTCCCACTGGTGCAGCGGTTGGTTTGTTCCCTCTCTGTGCTCCTCTTTCCATTGCCCCAGGGATGAATATCTATAGAGGGGGGACTCCATTGTTTGGACTTTATCCACTGAGGCACAGAAGGCCGAGGAGCCTCAAGGTTGAATGCATTATCGGCTTTTCAGTAAGCAAAACACAAGCAGGCTGCCAATCAGTGATTCCATTATGGAATCATCTCGAGGAAATGTTATTCAACTTTAATCGTCCGCGCTGTTCTTCACATGTTATCTGGGTTGAATAACTGTTTATCAATTAGGCACAGACACAGCGTAAACCTCATTATAATGAAACAGCGTGCAGTTTTTTTAGTGACGTTCACGTAATTAGCCTGAAAAATGCAGAGCTGTCACAGTGCTATTTTTAGCCCGCCAGCAACTGTGGTGCAACAGCATCAGGAGGGTCAGAGAACAATGTGCACCTTTATGTGTACATTTGGAGCCTCAGACATCAGAGTCACACATTGTGATTTCCTTTAAGAGGTGCAGTATGCAGATGGAGGGAGCGGGCTTTAAGGGAGCAGGACTCAGCCCGTTGTGATGAAACCATCTGCCTCTCATTACACATCCAAGACCCACTGCTTCTCTGTGGATGAGTGCAGCTGAATCACTGCCTGCAAGTGGGACAGATCTTCTGTAGACGGTCTGTTACTTTGTGGTTTTGGTCTGTAATTCAGACATAAATACTTAATGAAGTATCTGAGTAAAGAGTGCTGAAAGTTGGAAGTGATTAGCCGGATTATTCTTTACTATTTACAAACATTTTCAGAACTTGGTTATTCAATAAGGTGTTTTAAAAAATATGTATTCATATTTCTTGTTATATTTGTACCTTTAAATGATAGCCAAAGAGAGTCAGGACAATGGAAACAGATGGACCGCGGCCAGATTCAAAGGCCATGCTGCTGCAGTAAGAACTCAGCCTCCATACACCTGGGCCCCCCTTTATGTAATTTGTTATTGAAACAAACCTTTTGTAAAGCTGATCATGGTAAAACTATTGTACAGTAGTAGTACATTTTGGAAATTCACAGCAGCAGCAGCAGCAGTCAGTTAGCTTGGATTCGCATAAACAGGAACCTAGCCTGGCTCCGTCCAAAGGCATTACATAATGCCTCACTAATAGAGACTTTGTAACTTAATAGTAAAATTTACATTTAAAACAACAACTTGCGGACTGGTTTTACAGGTAGCTATGTTTCATACTATTGCTTGACCAGGAGCAGTAACTTCCTTAAGTCTCTGCAAGTTGCCCGTCAAGCTCACTTCAGAAAGACTTCAACATTATGTAATTCCACACATTCCTTTATTGTTTTTGTAATCAAGCAAATGTATTAGTGAGAGGGGTGCCTTTAGGTGGATGTTGTTCCCTTTGGAAATATGGCCAATTGTTTCTCCTTGCTTCCAGTTTTTTGCTAAGCTAACCGCTGATCCAATATATTTAGCCTATAATCAAGAGAGTGATATCAATCCTCCCATCTAATTATTTACAATAAAGGAACAATAAAATATTTCCAACTATTCTTTTAAGACAACTGTGCACTGAGAAGTTTTTATATTTAGCTTATACCATCTTTTGAATTGCCCACCAGTCAAGAGAGTTAATCTTTTCTCTCTCATAGTACTTTTCCCAGGAATAGTTCCGATAGTTCCTGGGATTTTGCGTTCACACCAAAAAGATCTGGAACTAGAACTTTTTTTCGGGAACCTTTTCACCCCTTTTCAGTCCCTGAGGTGGTACTTTCCTGGGGAGGAAAAGGTTCCAATTTCTTATTGGCTGGGCGAATTGCAAACCACGCCCCGTAAAACTCCGGAAAGTTTTTGTGAAGCCACCATTTTATTTGCTCGCATTAGCATTATTAGCATTAGCCCAGCGCACCAACGGAGAGAGACTAGCTTATGGCAACACAAAATAAAACATGGGAGCGGTG